AAACATATTTATGCTAACTTTCCACTAGGCCAAATGTGGTTTATCATTTTGCTGGAGAGTGTGATCTCATCCCCCATCTCACCCCTGAGATGCTAGGAAAGAGTGCATTCAGGAAGAGTTACTGATGCCCAATAGAGCTGTAGTCATAGGACTAGCAGAGCTAAGAAGGTAATCATCTTCTGTTTATGTGTTTGATGCAATGGCAAGCGTCGGACGGTATTTTAAAAAGCAGATTGCGCAATGGTTTTATCTTTACACTAGGGATGGTCTTTTGAACTGTAATGAGTCTTTTAGCTCATTTTCTATATGTTAAATATAGTACTGCTTCAGTAAATGATGGTGTCACACACTTTTATTTAAACTTAGTTTGAGGGTCTAGAAAGTGTTTCAGAGAAGGTGAAGCAATCTGTCCCCAAGTGAAATCAACTTTGGTGTCTTAAACTCCAAATTGCGTTTGTTTCATGGCTAATTATGGCAGCCGAAGGAACTTGGAGGCAGAACAGAAGCCTGTAGTTTGAATCCTATAAGTTGCCTGCGTGCATAAGTAGAAAATCCAGGCTCCTTGGTAACTCTTTAGTGGACGTTATCTACCAGTACTGTGTGGGGATAGGGAAAGAGGAATAGAGCACATTTATAAAGGAGTTATACGGATGACAAACTGGAAGGGGTGGCTGGTGCACCTGTGTGTGCTTGAGTCAGTTGTCTTGGGCAGTCCTGTTGGTCCCTTTAACACTAGCCTGGCATGTGTTACTGGGGCTGACTGGGAGTTCTCCCAGCTGCAGCACAACAGGAAGATCAGATTCCGTGCACTGGCACACAAAAGGCTTTTTTTTTTAATCACAGAAGCAACAGCACCTCTACTGCTAACTATGGTCATTGAAACATGAACCTTATAGTAATGAAATTTGAAATAGCTTGTATACCCCCTGTTTGGACTATTTTTAGTCTTTTTCTTAAGACTGCAGAAATCCATCCTCTTACGGAATATGAGTTGTTTAATTTCTGACTTGAAAATCACAGTAAAGTAACTGCTATGACTTGTTTTCCTAGAATATACTGATAGAGTGCTCTCTACATACAGGATGCCTTTCAAATGTGGAAAGGAGAGTTGTTGCTTTGAGGAGTTAACATCTTAAAACAAAAGTCCAGAGAAAAAACTTGGAATCCATTCTGTGTGTGGTGTATTTTACACAAAACCCCCTCAGCCTAGTTTCACTTTTTTAATTAATGCTTTACCCTTAACATTTTCAAGCAATGCTCTGAAATGTGAAAGAATATCAGGCTTAAAATTGCCTGTGCACAGCAATTAGTCCTTTTTTGTCTGAGTTCATCCTGTACATTGAACAGGGCCAAGGTCCTATTGGCAAAAAATAAAAAAAAATTAAATATTGTAATGTGATATGAACGTATGAAGTTCCGTGGTCTGACAGCAAATGTGTGCTAGTTTCTAGAGTTAGGAAAAAAGCTAAGAAAAAATGGCTACACATGACAATTAATTTTTCCCATTTTTTTCCAAACAAGTCACTGGTTACAGTAGCATAAGCTTTATTGTGTAACTTAAAGGTAATAATAAGTTATAACTAGACATCTTAATATACAGATAATTAGCATTTAAATAGTCTTAAACCTTCAGGTGCTGTATGCTAAAATGTTTTCACTACCACGTGTTCTAGTGTTCTCAGGGGCTGCCAAGCTTTAAACATAAAAGTTTTGAGATATTTGGTTTTGTAACAAGTCCGTGAAATGAGTAACTTTTCTCCTTATTTGCAAACCTCAACAAAAAGCTTAAAGTTGATCTGCAGGATATGATGTTTTGGTAATGGTGGTTTATTTTTTGTTACATAAGTTATATAGAATTCTTTAAAAGTTTAAGAGCCTTTTTTGGGGTCTGGAGTGGATATTACTACTGGAAGTGTATGTATATATCAATCTGTCTTTCCTATTAGTAATATTGGTATTAGTAGGAGTAACATCAGATTGTCAACAATCAATCTTCCTAACAAAAATATATTTCTAAAACATCGGTATTTTATTTAGTTAATGCTAATTTTAATTGAGGTAAGCGTTGCTCAAGCTGTTCTTCAGCTCACATGTATATTTTGGGAAGAAGGCAGTGCTCTTAATATGACTCCCAGAGCTGGGGTTTAAAAAACACCCAAAAACTGCAGAATATCCTGTAATAATCTGAGCCTTTCAGACTCCTGCCTTGAACAGTTTACAGCACATATTTCTAGAGCCTTCAAAAGGCTGCCTCAGTAAATTTGATAGCTGAGATTTTGTGATACATTTCTGCTTGTTGAAGTTTTTGTTAAGAAACCCTGCATAATGCTAAACTCTTCAGACTTCTCTGTGGATATGAGTGATTGTGAGCTGTCTAGTCTTAACTTTCTAATGTGTTTTATTGAGAGAAGAGAGAGGCAGTGTGAGTTACTGTATGTACTCTTGCTGTGAACGGGAAATAATTTCATCTATAGAGCAGACTTTATGTGCTACCTTTTTCATTAATACTATTTCCATGTTGGTTCCCAGTATTCACCAAAGCTACAGATTTAGTTCATCATATGCTGTTCTCTACTATAAAAATGTTAAGAGTAGTTGAAAACTTAAGTCTGTTTAAGATGCTTGGAGTTACCAGCTGTGGGTGTTTGTTCATCATTTCTGTCTCAATTCCCTATCTAAGAAAACTTACCTGTATCAGGCACAAGTTTTCCTATGGCTCTCTTTAGTGTGCTGCTTATGAAGAAACCAATTATTTGTTGTAGAGCTTAGACATTGAGTTTAAAAAAGCATGCAAACTGAAAGCTCAGAATGAAAAGAAGTATTCAACTGATGCCTTATTCTTTAAGCTTGTCCTCTACTAAACGAGGCAGAGATGTCAGTAAAAATACTATACCTGCAGGAGGGCAGAGTTAAGGTATTTTGTGTTGCCAAAGGTTTGACTTTCAAACATTAACCTGTTCTAAACTCTTAAGAAAAAGCCTGTAATAGATTACGTACGGAAAAGGATGCAAATGTATTTCCATTCCCTGTCTAGGTCCTCTCTAAGTGACTTCTCCAAGGCAACACAGTAATTCATTCAGATAGTCACGTTTCAACTCCTGGTGTTCCTAACTTTGTCCTTGGGAGCCCCTGGGTTCTCAGTCTGGGGTTGCAGCCCTTCAGAGTGGTTAAATGCAATCTGAAGGTTTGTTACTGTGCAGCTTTTTTTCCAGCTTGATGAAGCTGGGGTCCTACTGTGGAGGTGAGTCTCTACGTAGGGGGGTAAAAAGGACGGAAGGAACAGTTGCTGTTATTTTTAAATGACAGCTTTCTCATCAGTTTGCATGTACTTGTGCTACACGTAAATTGATATTTTTCTTTTTTATATAAAAATCATGTTTGTTTATTCTAAGGCTGCATTTGTGGATGTGTAGTACCGACTGTTTTCTTTAGCTTTCCAAAGTCTAAATAAATCTACAGCAGTGAGATTTATTTTAAATTATTATTTTATTAATAGCATGGGCATATAGTTGTAATTGCTTGTTGAAGAGGGACAGGTAATGATTGCATAATGAAAAAGCTTAGTCTGTAGATTTTTGGACCAATTAAATAGCTGATTGATAGTGGGAGGTGGAGGTGACAAGTAAGATTTTAATATCAAAAAAGAAACAACTAGAGTTTGAGAATCATACCTGTCTCTTCAGCACCCTCAACAATGAGAGTATTTGAAATTCTCTAGCACCCAGAGTGAATATAACCTCAAAATAGTCCATACTGCGAAGTTCATAACCTGCCATGTTAACAGTTGGATATTGTTTAAACTAACCTGGAATTGCTCTAAAATTAAACATCTTCGTAATATTGTGTTGTTCAAAATGCACAATAAAATTTGAGACTAGGAGACTGACAATACAGTCTCTGTCATCTGTAGGCTTCCTGTTTTCTGTTCTCAGTGTTCATCAGCACACAGTTCTGCTGGTTAGTAAATGGAAACTCCTTCACTTGTGCTGGTCTCCAATGAGTGAGAGATAATTATGTGGCTTTTCTACTGCTGTATCTTTTTATAAGGCTGGGCCTTAAACTTCATCCCTGTGATGACTTGTGTGTGAATAAAAACATATATGCAAAGGTCTTGTTAGCTGTGCAGTTGAAGCTTAAAATATGCTAATATTCTAGTATTTTACTAGAAAATTGGGAGTATTTTAGAGGCTTTTTTTTTTAGCATCAGGCAAAGTAATTAAGCAATGAGTTATCATTTATATTGTGACTATCTTTCTAGAACTCTGGCTCATGAGTATTTTATGATTCATATGAGGATGATTGAAGAGGTACTACCTTGCTATGCTACTAGATATTCTTCCTGTGATGCAGGCAGTGTAATGGACAGTGTATCTTCTCGGCCTCCACACTTCATGGCCTACTATGTTGGCTTAAACTGCTGTTGATTTCAGTTTACATTAGTACTCCGGGGTTTGAGCTCTAGTGACTGTGCTGTTGTACCACCTGCTCTACCATATTTGTTCTGTTGGTATATCCTCTGGCAGAGGTGGTGGGCAGATGTCTAAGGTGGGTAATCTTGTCATGTTTAGCTGTGGCAACTGACAAGGCTTGTGATTCAGATCTTAATAAATGTGATAAAGTGAAAGTCTGTCCTCCACAGGAGGACACTGGCCTTGCACAGAATTAGAAAAACTAGTACCTATAATCTGTTCTTCCCCTAATGACAGTAATAGTTTGTATTTTAATCCAGATTAGAATTGTAAGTCTCCTTGGTTTTCACTACCATGTCAAACAGATTTTCTTTCCAACTGATGTTTTATAGTTAGCTTCAGCATTAAAAAAAAAAAAAAAAAATGCCAACCCCCCCTCCCCAAGAAAAACCAAACAAAAAAGTCCCTCCTAAAACGTCAACAATCCTTCCCCCTCCAACTTTCCAAATACTTGAATTTCTTTTTCTGTTTCAAACTGTAGTTAAAAATTATGTAATAATCTTTTTTTCTTTTGCTGTTTTTCTTTTGTAGGAGAGAGTGGAGAGCTGAAAGGGATAACTTACTTAAAACTGGTAAGTACTTCTTCCTAGGGCTAAAATGGCTTACCTTAGAATAGATGATATGAAGAGCTGGCATCCGTTTCTGGAAAAGTTTGATGCTTACTGAAACTGAAATCCTATCTGTTCTTGTATTCATAAATTAAATCTTAAAAAGTAAATGTTACTGATGGAAGCCTCAGTCTTATAAATAAAATCTGTGTAGGAACTGATATTTGGGCCCAGGGGTTTCTAAGTACAAGGGACATTTAAATTCATCTACTCAAAAATAATAATGTTACGATTTGGGGGTTTTTTTTCTGTGTAACGTGAACCCCAAATTTATTTTAAGGGGTTTTTGGTGCAGAAAGGCTTCTCTCTAAAATTCTAAGTTACTTAGAGACCTTGCATACACACAGAAGGCATTCATGGCTTTTGTGTGTGTCCTGCCTTTGTTTGTATAAATATCAGATGTGTTTCTAGTGTAGCTTCCAAAAGAGCCATAGTTTAAATAGCATTGCGATAGTTTCGATTCTGATGTGGATTGTATTTAATTGAGATAACAGAGAAGTGTGAATGCACTTATGTGATTATTATAGAGCTTAAGGTTTCATTCAGTCTCTGAATATTTAAATAGTCTATAAACATGTGCTACCCAATGCAGTGCATTGGGGTACTTTTCTGAGTATGTTCGAGTCTTGAAGCAACCACTTAAGAAATAAGTGGTTATTGGGAACAAAGGAATGCCAGCAAGAAGTTGAATGGAGGACTGCTGCCGCCTCCAGTTGTTGAAATCCATCCAAAAAATGGTGAATTTACCTCTTGCTCTCAGTGTTCTTTCTGGCTGAAACTTGGAAGTATATCTGGATGTACAAGAGATGCATGAACTTGTCAGTCCTCTGCTTTCCTTTTGGAAATCACTGGTTCTGCCATTAAATAAAGAATTTGCATGTTTTCCTTTAAAAACTAAAGAAATGAAGGTTTTTTGCCGACCAACCCATCCATGCAATTTCAGTCATCTACAAGCTTTTTAATTAAAATAATTCCGCTGTCGTAAGAGTAAAGTGGAAAATGCACTATGCTTTATGATTAATCCAGAGGTGGTTTTATACCTCTTTGAATGTGGTATTGTAGGTAGTTTATAATGCCACTGGACTTAAGTTTTTAAATCTTCCCTTGAAGTTCAGTCTAAAAGAATAAAATTTCAAAAATACTGAAGATATGTGCAGTTGTAAAATGTGTAACCACTTGCTTATGTAGTTCTGTACCTCCTTTCAAAGGAAGTGTGAGCAATGTTTAACCAGATGCCCTGATAGATATTTCTATGTTATTCTATGTAAACCAGAAAAAATACAGTCTAGGTATTACTGGATGTAAGGAATGATCACTTTTTTTCTTTCTTTATATTGGTTGTTTAACACTGGGGGTGGGTAAGGTACTTGAGGGGAATTCTGGACAGGGATAACTTTGGATAGTTATTCTTACTTGGGAAGGGAAGCTCTAAGTGCGTGTTCCAGATGGAAACAACTGTATATATTTCATATTCAGAATTTGGCAACTTGACCAAACTTTTAAATGAAATACATCTGTTCATCTCTATACCCCAATACACTTGACTAGGCTAAGCAACCACTTATTTCTGCAAAGCAGTGTCACTTTTTTCTTAAACCCCTTAAAAAAAATAATTTTGAAAAATCTTTCTAGCTGTTCAAGGCATAGATGCAATTAGCTTGGATTAACTTTTATGTACCATCAATACTACAATTTCTATCTGTCAAATGAAGTTGTGCATTAATAGTAATTACTCAATCTTTATATTTTTTTTTACAGAAGTACTATGTCATTTTTGCCATGAACTAGTATTGGACTTTACAGTTACATGTATTAAAATGATGGATATTATTTATATTGTCAGTTGAGATAACTGTCTCTTCCGCTGTTCTGCACTTAACTTTAAAGTTGGCATGTAGTTACAGAGTTACAAACTGTTCATCATGTGTGCCTTCTCATTTGTTGAAGACACACTGAGAAAGAAACTATGGCCATACCTGCCTGTGTCTTTACCCCAAAATCAAATTTCCAAGGCTCATGAAAGACTTCTTTTCTCTGCAGTGGGTTCCAGTTTTCATTAACCAATCTCCCACGTGGTTTTCTGAAGCATAGTTTCTTTTGAAACTGCAGTGGTAGGGACTTAAAGCATGCTATCATTATTCTTGTCAGTGAGTGGAAGTAATAATCCGGGATTCTGTTTTCTCATTACTGTTTGTGGTAATAGGTCAGGGAACTATATGTAATTTCCATGTATCCCTTGATACAAATTACAATTTTATAGAGTAGTGCTGCAAAGGCAGCTGTTTTCACTCATCTGTGTCACATGTGGGAGAGGCCCTTGCAGCAGGTCATTTCATGTGTTGGCTAGAAAGTCTGATCAGGCCTTTGTTATTTAAATAAGCAACTTTAAGCTAACAACAGACAGCACTGACAAAGAATGAGCTATATAAATACAATGTTTTTTAAACCCCCTTTATAGTCTTCTCTTTTTGTGATATATTTCTTTCTGAAAAGAGAAATGATTAATTTAAATAAACAAAACAAAACACACACCCTCAACCTTTTTATTTTCAGGAATGCACAAAGTTGTCCAGCACTTCAGTTTACTGTACTGAGACAACATAAAGTCTTAAACTTATGGGAATTACTCTCTTTTTACAGCCTACATGTCTAATCTAAACTGTCAGTATCCTTTTGAAAACCTTGTAGTCTGGTTATGAAGGCCTCTGAGTTGGCAACAATACCTGTGCAATAATTGTGAGCAAGTTGCAAAAAATAAAAAAAGGAACGATTTTAACATTACAGAAATTCTTTAATTATGGTGTCTGGATGGAAAAGTGACTAAAAGGATTGCTATATAATGTTTTCCAATGGCTTTTATCTATGTATTTATAGATGGTTTTTACGTAGGTTCTACTATGATTTGAGCATATGGGAATCTTAATTGTGTTTCAGAAGCTGATACTTTTAATGTATTTTTGAACAAAAATCTCCTGTCCAACTTTCTAGGCTTTTAGAAATATGTCTGTTAATGCTTTTCTATGTCAGAGGTTGGGGGCATTACTTTGTTTGTAGTACAAGTGAAGATGGTAAACTCATAGTTGTGATCTAAAAGTAGAATTCCAAGATAAAAAGGATTTTAAAATTAATAATTTTGAAAAAGTCTTGTGCTGCTTTATCTGAATCTTATGCTCCTTCAGAACAGATTTCAACTGAAATGACTAACTCAACACAAACTTTAGGCAGTAGCTTATTAATATATTAATGTTGTTCTATCAAATTGCATGCACACTGTCCCATCCAAGAACAGCTCTACAGTATCATGGAAGTATGTTAATGCAGTACATTGAATTTAACAATTTGGGTTGCAGAATTTTAGTCTTTGGAATATGTTTACATCTACACAGATTTTTAAAACATTCTCAGTAGTTAAATTTTCAGATTTAATGTGCAACTGCAATAGGATATTGGTAGGAAATAGCTGCCTGCAAACTAAGATAAGGGACAAAGTATGTCAACTTTGGGATATGTGGGAAGTAACAAATTTGGCTAAATGACTCCAAGGCAGGCATTTTGTAGAGCCTGTAGATTTCTCGTGTTCAATAGACTGACTGTGTTTAGGGTAGAAAGCTGCATTTGAATGTAGTTCACTATTGAATTCCCGCTCTGTTATAATCTCCTTTCTTCAAATTGTCAAACCAAAACAAAACCTTTTTTTTTCTATAGGACTGGTGTTAAAGAGGGAACCAGAAACTAAAGGCACTGGAATCAGCAAAGACACTTTTAGAAAAAGTGGAGAAGGTAGAGAATGGAGCTGCAGACTCTACAGGAGGCTCTGAAAGTGGAAATTCAGGTTCACCAGGTAATTTGTATTCTTTCTTGCTTTAGACTTTCAAGTAATAGCAGCATTAGTATTGCTGACTACTAAGGGGAGCATTAAGCAGTAGCACTACAACTATAGTAATAATTGTTTTATAAGCTCAAAATACTTAAGAATTTTATACTCTGCATTTTGACCCCACCACCTGTTGTTTTTTAGCAAATGTGAAAAATCTACATATCAATCTGTGGGTGGGGATTTTTTTTTTAATATTTTGTAGCAGTAATAAAAACATTCTGAGAACTCTACATTCAGCAGCCTCTATCTGAAAGGTTTTTCTAATGTTCTGAAGCCAACTGCAGTATTCAGTTGGCAATGGAGGAATATGGTGGAGGAACTTCAAAGTGAAATGTATATAGTACTGCATGATTTCATCTGATGCTTCTCTTCTGGAGTCTCTTCTACTTTAGTACTTTCTAAACTTGTGTATTTTTGATAACCAAAATGTTGTAGTGCTTGGGCTTGGAAATTTTTACTCTGGGTCTTTTTACTGGTAGGCTGTCCAATACTATATGGCAGTAGAGTTGCATTTTACAATTCTGTTACAAAGCAATTGAGGAAATATTAGAAATAATAATAATACAACCTAATTTAGCAAATGTAAGAGGACATATGCATATTCTTGGGACAAAATTTTTACAGCCATAGACACAGAGTAGCTGCCAATTTGAAATGTTAAATTTATCAATGAATCCTTTTCTAAACACAGTTCTCCAAGTATTCATGGAGCTCTCCAGATATCTGAAACTCACAACTGTTACACAGTGGATTAAAAAAATGTATCATAAGTTGCACTGATCAGTTTAACCCATCATATAAAATTTGGAAAATGTTTCCTTATTATTTGGTGACTTGTCTAAAAAGTGTTCTTGATGCAATGATGAGCAGATTGCAGGAACTCAAATGGGTGAATTATTAAAATGAACTATGTCTGCTTTAACAAAATAAAACTTACAGCCAGGGAGAAAAACTTGAAAAAGCTAAAGATGGATTTCCAGAACTAGAGATGAGTATTTTGCTCTCCTCAGAAACTCCCAAGGCCCTTGCATTCAAACAATGAAGTCTTGTTATGGGGGTAAGGAAGTTCAGAAATTACCCATGCCATTTTGCTGCAGACATAGAAATATCTGAGGCCAGTAAGTAATTTTTTCAAGTATTATCTTCTGTAAAGCGATCAGAACGCTGGTCTTACTTGTGTTTGTATAACAGTGTTTACCTCTTGTGCCCAAGCTAACCCAAAATTTTAAGACTGTGAATTTTGAATAATGTTTAGCATCTGTTCATAATGACAATGCTGAACAGGGATGAAGACTGGAATATGTCCAAAAAGACTTTTTTTAACAGCTTAAAATTTTTTTTGACCCTGTTTGCTTTAGCTTTGCCCAATCCTCATTAAAAGTGAGCTCTGAACTGAAATAAACTTTAATTAAATTTAGTTGGTGAAACTAGAAAAGCCATTATATCAAAAAGTTATCTTAATTTAAGATGCCATATATTTCTGTAATTAGGGCTAAGAACAAGTATATGTTTACGATGGAAAATAACACTTGCAACGGCATGTTGAGTGCTTGAGTAAACTTCTGTGAACTGTTGCTGTCAAATGGACACTGATAGAAATTAAACTAGTTTTGGCACAAAAAAAAGAAATCTTCCAATGAAATGCTTGAACTTTCTTGCATAGCTTTGAATTTTGTAACCTAAAGAGATACAATATATCCCTTCTTTTTGTTCAGGATTTATGGAGCAGTGTCTCTTGTCATCTTTTACTTATCTAGTATTTCTTTTTCTGAGGACTCTCTAGAAAAGCTTGCCAGCACTCATACAGTCAGGGTTTTTTGTCCCATTGCAAGTGGTCACAGGTGTCTGTGATCCTGTGCGGAGTTCAGCTCAGCACTGTGGTCAGAGCCTCCCAGGTTCCTGATGCAGGGTACTGCTTGTGACTGCTTCCATGGCTGTACAAAGTGCTGTTCAGTAAGACTGTGGTTTTGTTTGTGGAATAGCTCCTTGTTTCCTGCCTTTTCTACTTCACCTCCAGAACTGTCTGAAGCTTTCAAAATGCTGCTTTGGCAAAGTGAGTCTTAAACTACCAGTAAGGACCCAAATGAAGTGTTGTGTTGTTTAGAAAAAGCTACTTTTTTGGTTTCATTTTTACAGAGAATCCTCCATGAATGACATCTGACCAGATCACTTGCTATATCAGTGTAATACAACTTGAATATTCAAATAGCTTCAATGTCAAAGCTATGTTGATTGTCCTGAGAAGAAATGCATCTAATCTAAGTACTTCATTCTGCTACTGTGTTGACTTAATTAAGGTTATTTTGAAGCAGTCTGCTCTTCATAGTTTTGATCACAAGAGGTGTTAAAGAAGTTATATTTAGCTATTCTTACAGAAGGATTGGGTTTTGTGGATGATTCCTTGAACTGATGTGGGGAAAGAACCTAAACCATAATTTTCCTTTTTTCATACCAGAAAGATCAGTATGTTTTAAAAAATCTAAAATTTAACTTGTGCTTGTGGCTAGTGCAAAAGAAGATATTTTTTTCCCTAGGATTGCATGATGCAATGCTTTGTGATTCATAAATTTAGCAATGCCTCGTGAACAGTTTACAGTACTGACTGTATTGTCTTACGACTGTGTCTGCAGGAGCACTTTGTATAAAAACTATCAGATCTGTTGCTTGTCAAATTCTAATGTGGCAGGAAGCAGCAAGGAAAAATAAGCTGAGTGTGCCTGTGACGCTGAATGGCACCATGACGAAACAATAATGCTCAGCTTAGATAAATGCCAAGTGATGCACTTTGGAAAAACAGGCTCAGTTTTACAGCTGCAGTAGCAGGCTGTGAATTGGCAGTTAGGACAGTGGAGGGAGTTCTTGCAGTACAGAGTACCTGAGCATTGCATGCAGTTTTAAACTTTGTCTCCAGATGATAGAGGCAAACTAGAGAAGTACAGGGAAGAGTGCCAAGAGTGAACAAAGCAATGGAATGATTTGTGCATGAGGAGACTCTCAGTCTGAAGAAGTGATGAGTGATAGAGGAATATGTGTTGTGGAAAAAATGTAGGAAGAAGCTGAATAGAGAAGCAGCCATAGAATCATATAATATTGAGTTGGAAGGGACCTGTAAGGATCATTGAGTCCAACTTCCAACTCCTTTTGACTCAAGTCAGCTCTGGTTTTCTGTAATTGTATTAGTCTCTCATGCTTGCATTGTAAGGAGACAGATTCAAAAGAAAAAGGTCATCCTTTTACGTAAGAGTCCTTTAGTTTAACTTGGGGACTTATTGTCACAGAATCTAGAGTGTTTTCCTGAGTTTAAAAAGTAATTAAGGCAGATAAATCAAAGAAATGTGTGCTACAAGCTATTAAACCTAAGATGTAATCTTTGAAGACATCAGAGATGTAAATTTTTGAAAGATGAGAAATAACGCTGTATGCTTGTCCAGCATGGACTCTCTGCTAATGCATCTGTTTTTTGCTAATGGCTACTACTAGAAAATGCAGCAGGTAAACCTGTGGTCTGATGCAAAATTATCTTTGTTTTTTTTTTTTAGTACAGTTTTTAGGATATGAAAGGAAATAAACTTTTAAAGAGAATTAGCTGATAATTTGAATTCTCTGAGTGGTATCAATGAAGGCGGAATAGAACATGTGTTTTTCTTGCTTGCTTTGTCCTTCTGTTTTTCACTCCTTTTCCTGATTCTGATGAGTAAATGAAGAAGAAAGTAGAGACTTTACATGGTTCTTTGCATGTGTGGAAGGGACATGGTGATGTGATGAATAAATGTAGCTGTAACCAAAAAAGAAATGGGGAATTTTTGGTTTATCTTGTCTCTTCAATCTGGGCTCTGTTTTTCGTTGCTGACTTTTTTCTTGCTTAGCAATAGACAGCATTCTCCTGCAGCTGCCTAAAGGAAGTGAAGGAGGAAGAATGGTGAATGGTAACAATCTGTCTGCTTTCCCTTGGATGTGGAGGGCTTCTCTTCTACAATGATCTCAATCTCTCTTTGAGGGAGAAAAGTGGCAAAGATACTTCTGAACATGGGTCTTCCATCTGGTACCAGCGGAGCCAACACACAGGCGGAGCCATAGTACTTGAAACATTGTGCTCTTGAATATACAAACAGCTTTTGTGCCTGCAGTGATTATCTGTGATTTGTGTTTCTTGTGACTGCAAGCAAAGAAGGCAGCAGTTCTAGAGGAGACACAGCTATTAGATTATCTTACCCAGCTGGCTTAAATTGTCATTAAAAAGCATCACTTATTCAAGAGCTATTGAGGAGGAGCAGAAGTGATGGCTTAGTACAGTTGTTTTACTATATTAATAAGAGTGGGTTTGGAAATTATATAATACTGGACTCCAGGCCTTGCTATTGAAATGCTGTAAACTAAGTATTTTGCTTTTACAAAAGTTCTTCAAAAATACTGACTTTTAAACTCTTCAACAAGATCTGTAATGAAACCTTCATTGTATTGTTACATCTGTTTTCTTTCTAGAAATTGGTTGCCCAAATGAAGCAAGATCCACAGGTAACTATTTATTTTTATATTGGATTATTTACCCTTAAAAATGCAGGAAATAACAGTGCATGAAGCTTGAGAATTCTAGATATTTCTTGATCACATTCTTTCTTGCTAACACAGTGTTTAGAAGAAAACTTATGAACAAATTTTGGAACAATGACTGTTAGATAGTTTAAAACAAAACCAAAACTCTTGCCATTATGGAGTTTTTACCTCATATGTATCCTTATTGGTTTAAATCAAGTGACCCTTGTGGGCTTTGGTGCCGTTCAAATGTGCAGTAAGTTTATGATTCTATTAGAAGCTGTTCTTTATAAAAGGTGCCATTGTTAGAAATAGCTTTTTTATTTTTTTGAGTATAAGAAGGTTCACAGTACAAGAAGTGGGAGGATATTCTGTCCAAGAAATTTTGTTCAAATAATGTAGCTTAAGGCTATGTCCTTATTGCCTGTCTAGGTATTTTACCAGCACTGTAGTGTCCAAAGAGTGGGCACTTGGCCTTGGGAAGTTTCAGAGCTACTGAGGTTGGATAACTAGACTCCTTGCATAGACAGCAGAAGTTATCCCTTTTCCAGTAACTGTGTAAGGTGACTGGGTTTTTACTCTACAGCAGTTAAGCACTCTGCTGAATGGGGAATTCTGTGGAGTTCTCAAACCAGTCTGAAATGTTAAGGAGAGAGATAAAGGCAGCTCACTTGAGGCCTGCTATTGAAATACTCCCATCCCCATACATTAGTAAATGCCCTGTAATTTTTCTGAATGTATATTTTTTTTGAGCTCAGTGAAGAAGACAGTTTTTAATAACTGTCAAGTAGCTGGACCCCTGACGGGGAGGGTTGAACTGGAAGTAGGGTATATTGGAAAATCTGTTTTCTAGAACTTCCTTATTCTGATGGGATTTAGGTAAGGTCTGTGCTACCCTTACTCGCTGGGCGGGTGTGCTAACAATTAGACTGCAGAGCAGTTTGTTTTCAGTTTATATCTGCTGAAAGTGAGATCATGCTGCAAGCAGCCGTGCAAAGTTCCAAGAGTCAGGAAGAGTAAACCTGGTCTCTGCTTCCAATGCTCTTAATGCATTTTTATTCTAGATTATTAAGTGGAATCTAAAAGAAAGGGGGATGACTGGCAATATCTGGTTTTGCTAGAAATGGAGAAGAGTATCTACAAGCTGAGATTGTAATGCATTTCAGAGTTCAATGGAGGAATATAGAAATAGGGAATATGCCCTGAGCATGTAGTACCTGTAATGATATTAGTCCTGTTTTAATTTTTCTATGTAGCACTGAACCTGCTTAATCTAGTGTAAAAAGTTTAGATGTAAATGAGAACAAAAAAAGTGGAAAAAGAGAAAAATTAAGAAATACTTGCTTCCCTGTCATGTTTCTGTAGAGCTTCATTGGTTTTAAACAATGGACAGATGTTTTTTTAAGTTTTATTTTATTTTTAGTAGGAAAGAAAAAGTCCTGGTAAAAGTTGTTTCCTGTGTGCATCTTTGTAGTGATGCTTATGGCTTTCAAATCTTAAGTTTAAGAAAAGGCTATTGTAGGCAAAGTAGTGATATGAATGATGTGGTAAGGCAAATGTAATTCCCTTTAGTACAGTCTAAGGCATAAACATATATGGAAATTAAGACTTGGATATGTTTGCCTTTATTTGATATGTATGTCAGTTAAGATTTAATAGATATGTTTGATGCTCTATACAGTTAAATGTATAATGTCTTTGCATAAGTAGCATAGGTGAGAATGTTTTAGATAAGATACCATAGCATGCTGTTATATACAGTATGATGCTGTTGTTCTACATATTAACAAACATTCCTCATTTAATTTGTAAACTCGATGAAATGTACAAATGTGCTTTTTATAGTGTGATAAGCACTAATGGATGTTTTAATGAAATCTTCATTCCAATCTGGGTTGTCACTCTCTGAGTGCTGGAAAGGTCCCCTGATTATTGTTGCACTCAGTGACTTAAGTCAGGCTTTTTTGAGCCTCTTGAATTTTATTGGCTGTACATCCAGAGGTGCTGTATTTGTAGTACACTATGCAAAAACAAAACAAAAAAACAAACCACCTTCCTGCTACTACTCTATGTTAACAAATGGAATATCTTTCTCACAGATATTTTTTCTTTCTAATCAGAACGCTGATTTGAAGAAACAGCTTCATGAACTTCAAGCCAAAATCACAGCTCTGAGTGAGAAACAGGTAGGGAAACAGAGGTATTTTTAACATCCTGTTTTAAAGATGTCTCTTTTCCTAGCTTCCAAGAGAGCTGCTAAATTTTTAAGTGCAAAAATAAGTGTGGGCATCGAGACGTTTTTGATTTTTATTGGATTTTTCAACAAAAGATAGGACGAGTTATTGTGAGTCTATCAGACAAGCAACTCGTTTAATCAGTGGAAGCTATAGCAATTTTTCTTGTGTTGAAACAAATGTTTTATTTTAAGGGAGATGGGAAAATGGATGAATTTTGTCACTTCCTGTATTATTATCTTAGAACTTATTCTAAACCAGACTGTTCTGGTTTAGGCACATCTCTAGATTTTCTCTTAGTTTGGCCATACTGTGTATATGGGTGGGTATGCTGGAATTTTTCTTCATGTCTAGCCCAACTAATTCATGACAGATACACCACAATTGTCTTATGTTTGCCATTTGGTAGGAATTCTCTCTGACAGGTCTAAAGTATAAGTTAGAAAGATTGTTGAATTTGAAGATGTGCTTTGTGGATAACTACAAGAAAAATAAGTAACATCGAGAGATCTACAAAACTTGTTCTCTGTTTTGTTTTTAAAAAAACAAAACAGCAACACATGCAAATCCCTCATACACCACTCCATCCCACTCCCATGTAAACTGACTTAAGCAGTTCCTTAATTGTATTGCTTATAGTGTCAATAATGGAACCAAATTAGGTCACTAGGCAACACCTTTGAAGGGGTGAAACATTTTAGAGCATGTGCATAGGTAGAAGAAATACAGGTAGAAATGCATCAGTGTCACATCTAGATATCTGTGTTCATCTGTTCCTAGCTGAATGTGTTCTGTTTTGAGAATTACCTTTCATAAGAAAACGGGCAGATAGTATTAACGTTTATCTAAAAATTCATTTTACTAAAAAAATTATAGTATGTTTTGGTAGGGGGAACAGTGAATCTAGGAAGGAACATGTAAGTATAATAAAGAAAATGATTTTTTAATGAGAATACTAGTTCAACAAAACCTGAGGTTTTGCTGATGTGATAGCATGCCTCTCTTGAGATGATTTATTCTCTAGAACCAGCATGAGCCTCTGCATGTGGCTGTGTCTCACAGCAAGCCGTTTCAAGATTCTCTGGTAAGCTCTGGATGCCCATGGTAATTTCAAAATTAGCTTGTCTTGATGCCACGAAGCAGGTCACATTGACTCCCTGTTCACATGATGAGCACGGACAGGCAGTGAGATAGGGAGTGCAGTGTAAGAAGTGTACATCTTACCAAAACTTTTAAACCTGTATTTACAACTGTTTAAAGTTAGTGTTACAGTGGTCTATGCTAACATGTATTTTAAATTACCCATCACTAGAAATACAGCTGTATCTTTTCTGCTGACAACTACAGCTCAAGGTACTAAAACGCACTTGCCATGGGATGAACATGGGTTAAGTTTCCAAAAGACTTGGAAATGCAAGTTTCTGACTTCACTTCTACCACTCAGTGAACATAGTCAATATGAAGTCACAGTACAGTTTACTTCCTTGTATTTTTGTTGGTTTGATTGTTAGAACAACAATAGTGAACTTCTCTATGATTGTTCAAGGTTGAATATTTGTTATATCTACTGCTGGACTGCAGAACTGCCAGTGTCCCAGATGACAGTGTTGTTAAAGTAGTATGGCTGCTCAAATGCAACAATCATGGCAAATATGAGTTCTGGGAAAATAACCACAATTTCCCAATGCAAAGAAATACTCACTCCCTCTTATTTGAAGGAATCTGTTGCGTAGACAGGCATCTGTGGCTTAGCAATGTAGAGTTGAGCAGCATCTTAGAGACTACACAAAGCCCTTTTTTCTGTTCTCACTTCCGTTTCTCTTTAGGAAAAATAATTGTTATGAATTGTTTTATAGGGAGAAAATTATTCAAGAATTTAATTTTCACACAGTATGAAGAAATGTGCAATTTTGCATAGTAAATAAATGCCTTACATTGTGCAGTGCCTATCTTAAGAAGGAGTGCAACATGTGTCATCTGTCCTCTTGTTTAGAGCCAAGTAGTTTTGATGCCTGATGTTCAGTGAACAAACTCTGAGGGCCTGACTCTATTGTGGACAGTTACAGGAGGCATAATTGTTCAATAGTCTTTTAATGAAGTGTGAAAAACTAAAGTTCCAGCCCATGTGGTGTTCCTACTTGGAGACAGTGGCAAGGAGCTGAGACCCTGGTGTTAGAGAGGTAGAATAATGAAATATTTCTGGCTTCTGAAATGTTATGTCACCCTAATGCACGTTTTTTCTTTGCTCTCTTATTTAATGAAGTTGCCTGAAGGCTTGTGCAAGAACCAAGTCAGCGGTAGGTTAGCTGAAAGCTTTTAGTTGCTTTAGGACTTCTCTCCATTTCTGAAGCATTGTGAGAGTAGTGCCGACACTTGCTGCCAGTTGCGGCAGTGATTCATAGTGGCTTAGGTGTCTTGCTGAGAATTAATAATGACAGTTCTGTTCAGAAGTTTGTGAAATTGAGGAGATCTGGCGAAGTACAAAAAGAAGGCAGGTAGGCTGTATGTGTGTAGGCTTAAACATAAAGAGATTTGTTAGCTGATGCAGGGTTGAACTGTTGCAGCATAAGGTATGTCATATATTCGTATTTTTTTTGAAAATGTCAAAGAGGTGAAAATAAGTGCTTTGATTTGTTTCACCTAAGAGACGATGGAGCAATGTATTCTAAGTGTATTTATCTCGTGAAAGGAAAACTGCAAAAGGAAAAAAACTTACTTTAAGATAACTTGCATTTAAAGGGCAATAAGAATTTTCCTTTGCTAGTCTCTTTATGGTATTACCGGAGAGTTCTAATCTATGCTTACCTTTTTTCTAATCTGAGGGCAATAAGGTGAATTCAGTTTAACAGTCTTGCTCCTCAACTGTAAATATGAGAGCTGCAGTTCAGAAACCCTGAACGCATTGGTTTTAATACTGATTTCTTCTTTCTTCTCCCACCCCTCTCCTCAATAAAGAGAAGTCAAGAGTAACTTTTTGCAGAACAGTTGTAATTGCCAAATCTAAGCTTGAGTTGTAAATGCGAATTAATTGTGTTGCTGTGGAGCGCTGTTTTTTTAATTATGTTTTCACATCTTTGGAAGAAAGTCATAGTTTTAGCAGTCTTTCCTTCACTTTTGTTCTATGATAGTGTCTTCCTTTGGTGTTCTGATTTTTAGACTTTTACCTGCAATTACTTATCAGTATTCAGCTTTTGACTGGGTTAAATATAGCCTTTACAATAAAAAAACATAAAGAATGTATTTTTTAATTTTTCTGTGAGGAAGTTTACCAGTGTATACCTTTTTCTACTTTGGGGAGATGGGTGGGGGTTGCTACCAGTGATACTAGTGAAAGACTGAAGTAGAGCAGTCCTAGCACAGAGGAGCAGGAGGTATGTAATCTTGAAGTAGCACTTGTTCTTCTGCCTCTTTTCTCTCATGGTTAATTTAAAAAAAATTATTAGGAACTTAGTTATTATTAAGTATCATAACAGTACTTATTTCCAGTGACAAAGAAGAGGTCATGTTTATTTGACTAAAGAACTGTAAAGAAAGAAGTGGGCAGGAAAAAAATGCCCTTATTTTTTTTCTTTAGCAATATCAGGTCAAATACAGAGGAATTTCTACATGTGTCCTTATCACAATCTCTTGGAAAAGTTGAAGCAATATTCTGTCTTAAATGTGGAAGAAAGCTTACAGGAGTAGTCTTTTGACTCTATGGTAAAAAGGTGATGATGATAAGCATGTACTAAAGAAATCACATGGCTCTTTCTTTTGTATTTGAAAAGAAAATGGAAATGTCTCTTACTACAGTTGCAGTGAAATTCTTTGGATCTTTAGGAAAACGATGTTGTCAAAACTCAGTTGTTTTCTAATGCATTTGCTCATGACATTGAAAGAATAAAGTGGTTCCCTTTGTTATTTTGATTTCTGAAGAGCTGTATATATGTAGGAAAAAGTACTCAAGAATAGTTGTTAGCATAGGGATACTTAAGGTTTTATTTTTTTGTAGGGGAAAAACTTCACATACTTTACTATGAAGAAGAGTTGAAACTGTGGAATATAATTAGAAAAAATGCATACTATAAAAGCAAGCTTATCCCTATTATTATAAAGAGTCAAATCTGGTGAATTTTGCTTGTATTTGAAGTTTACAGCAAATTTGGGTAGATGAGTTTATTCTAAATCCTGTACATTCAGAGTGAGACTCCTTTTAACCTTGTCACTAAATAGCAAGTAATGAGAACAGGGATTTGGGGAAGATTTAGAAAATGGTAGTGTAATTTAACCATGGTTTTGTATAGTTGAATAAATGTAAACATGTGGTTTAGATTGACAAAGGAAACTTGTTATTTAAGTCTTCAAAAACTGTCAGGAATAGCTTTAAGCATTAATGTTGCTATATTTATTACAGGTACCATAACTGAGTAATGAAAAGATTGGTAATGTGCATAAATTCATCCTATGAGACTGTTCTTCTTGAACAGTTGTCAATCATAGTAAAAGTGAATTTTTATGGAGGCTTTTTGAACACATTACCAGAAAATTGTACCTGAAACATGTTCCATTGTGTTCTGTAAAGAGAAAAAGCAGTGATTTGGTGAGAGGAAGGTGAATGCAAGAACGCTGGAGAGCAGAAGGGAAACTGGGTACAGTTAGCAGGTAGCGAAGAGCACTTTGAAATGCTCCTGCCTAAGAAGATAGGCAAGGTATGCCTGTATGGTGTAGATACACCTGATGAACACCATGAGAACTTCAGGGCTCAAAACCTGGAAATAAATAATGAAGTCACTTACTTCTCACTCCTGTCAGTTTTGTCTGGAGTTTCTGATACCTTCTTTCTCCAAGATTCATCAAGGGCACATTAAAATTCCAGTTACTTGGTCAGCAATGGACCAAGTGTACAAATATGCCATATGAACACTTAGTTACTAATAACTTGAGGCAGGTGATGCCTAATTTTAGTTCCAGTT